TTATTGTATTACTTCCACAAAGCTTTAAACTTCAATATCCGTGGATCTCTATTTCTGTCACCTTCTTTCCGGTATTAAATACACGCGCGCAAACACACAGACACGCACACTCAAGCTTGCAGAGTTACTAAGTGCTCGACGAGCAGATCGACTAGGTGAACGTGCTCACACCGCTGGCCAACCTGCGTGCATGGGAACGGAATGACAGTGGATGAAAGGGTCAACTGTTGGGATATCCTGAAGAAGACGGTTTCAGGTGACGGGAATGTGGATGGGGAAGAGTCAGCACCTGTTTTTAACGGTGCTGACTCTTCCGAACGGCATGTGGAAGAGACCAGCATGGCGCGAGTGTCTTACTGGTGCTGTCAGTCCGAACAGCGTGGTCAGCTGAGCACGGTTCAGCGATGATTCAATATGGTGCTCATGAATGGAGCATCGGACTTGACGAATCGTGCTTTGATTGATGGCTCTCAGATTTCACAAAAGAGAGAGAGTGAGTTGAGTGGGAATTACACCAAGAAGTCACGTTAGTCGTTGAATTAGGTAATCTTTGTGCGCCATGTTATTTTCAATTGTTGTCTGGCACGGGTGTCGATTTCCATTCTTTTGTGAGGGTCCTGCCCCCCTTCCCCCTTTTGTGAGGGTCCTGCCCCTTCCCCCATTTTGTGAGGGTCCTGCCCCCTTCCCCTTTTGTGAGGGTCCTGCCCCCTTCCCCCCTTTGTGAGGGTCCTGCCCCCCTTCCCCCTTTTGTGAGGATCCTGCCCCCCTTCCCCCTTTTGTGAGGGTCCTGCCCCCTTCCCCCTTTTGTGAGGGTCCTGCCCCCCTTCCCCCTTTTGTGAGGGTCATGCCCCCCTTCCCCCTTTTGTGAGGGTCCTGCCCCCCTTCCCCCTAATGTTGAGTTGACTTCCCCAGTTTGGGTTTGGGTCCGCCTATGTCGGGCTTGAATTTAACGAAAACTTAGAAATTCATCGATCTGCAAAGTGATGGAAGCTATTCATCACTTTGCTGTGCTGGTGAATACTTAGACCACATTAAATAAAAATTACTTCCATAAGATGACACATGCCCATTCAACAGAAATTCACGCGCACTTGATGCAGCACAACAGCACGATAATAAGCATGTATGCGACTAGCCTTTCAATGGCACATGCAGTTTCTAAGCGCTGTCACGATAACCTTTTCCTCGCTGTGTGTGCAGCGCAGTTTTATGTATCCAACTGAAGCAGTTTGATTTAAGTCTCAATCGCACACAACTATCGGTCAATGTGACTTGTTCATATGCGTTGCTGAACACAATCGAGTGCCGCCGGGCATTGTTGACCATGGTAGTGCTGTTCATTGTATTTGTTGATGCCATGACATAGTTGAATCAAAGAATGTGGTACGACGTTAAGAAGAGACCGAAAATTTCAGGCATCGGTCGCGATTCACGTAAAAATTGCAATTTAAATAGAGCAGCTTTTTACACGGCAGGCGCTGCGAACTAAATCCGAAGACAAAAAATTTGATTGGAGTAGATTGCGTAATTTGCCTAAATGGCTTTGCCCCGAGCATCATAACTGGATCTGTTAATGTAGCCGGATGTTTACCGTCTCACAAGAAACGAAACATATATGCTTGCCGTATAGAGGAGCGCGCATGGCAACACTACAGCAGCTCCTACCCTCGTAATGTAATACTACAGCAGCTCCTACCCTCGTAATGTGATACTACAGCAGCTCCTACCCTCGTAATGTAATACTACAGCAGATCCTGCCCTCGTAATGTAATACTACAGCAGCTCCTACCCTCGTAATATAATACTACAACAGCTCCTACCCTCGTATTATAATACTACAGCAGCTCCAGCCCTCGTAATATAATACTACAGCAGCTCCTTCCCTCGTATAATAATAATACAGCAGCTCCTACCCTCGTAATATAATACTACAGCAGCTCCTACCGTCGTATTATAATACTACAGCAGCCCCTACTCTCGTAACATAATACTACAGCAACTCCCACCCTCGTAATTTAATGTTGTGTTTGCTCTCACCGCCAGATAACACGCAACAACTGATCCGAATAACTGAATGCAATAAACTTTACACAGCTTAGGACATAAGACATGCGATGGTCTGAGAGGTTAAACTGAAAAGCCCCGGGGTACGGGAATGACCCCAAAGTTCTTGATGGCTAGCCCTGCCCCCTTCTCCACTGACCAAGAACACATGCCGCCGCCCATGGCCGCCAGAAAAGTGTTTCTTCGGTACTCTAAGGTGGTCTCTGGAGGGCCATCTTTACTTTCAGATCAGAAGAGGCACGTGCCTTTAGCCCCCCCCCCCCCCCTGGACCCGTCCCTGCAGGACCTCTATGCTGCATTACTTGCAGAATATCTTTTAATGGTTACGAAATAAATTGCCATTGACCAAAGCAAACTGGGCTAAATCCGTTGAGAAAAAATGTGCAGGGGTTGGGTCGTCGGACGCTCGGCGCGGCCCACCCCCTCCCCCAATAATTTACAAAAGTTGCTACCACTGGTGCGATATTTCACTTTGACTGAAATTACAGCAGGGATTTACCGCATCATCATAGTATATTGAAAGGTGGCTATACTTGCTGTCGCTCTCCCTTTAGGACGTCCCAATGACGTTTTTAGACGGCCTTTTCACGCTCAGCGCAGTGCCCCCTGGGTCACGTGATGGTCGGCCTCATAGTTCCACGCTCCATAGGGCTTCGCAACGTCTACTATTGGAAAGGTGTCGTTAAAACGGCATTGTTCACCAAACGGTGTCGGGGATAGCGTGACTGGCTGGTTGTTGCAACTGGCAAGGAGGACTCGGAAGACAATGTTCAGCTGCACTTTGCATATTACTGCAGAGGTCATGAGCCGATACGCCGGATGAAGTCGCCCTGTATGTTTATTGGACACGGTCTGCGAGATAGCAGGACACATGGTAGGCCGGCTCTGGCTGTCAAACACACAATGTGTGCTGGCATTACGGGATCATCGACGCAGACCAGAGACATGTCACGAGAACGAGCGGTGCTAAGTAAACGAAATACAGCGAGCAGTTCGTGAATACATACAACGCAACCTCTCGCAGTCATCTCACGTTCAATAGCAGCACAGCGCATAAATGTTATCATTCAACAGACAACAGTACTCAAGTTATCTCCCTTGCGTTAAACCTAGATGTCTGTGCAGTAGGTTCTCACTCTAAACCGAATATTGAATATATGTGTATATATATATATATATGCATATATATATATATATATATATATATATATATATATATATATATATATATATATATATATACATATATATATATATAACATACATATATATATATATATATATATAGGTATGCATATATATATATATATATATATATATATATATATATATATGTGGGTGTGTATGTGTGCGTGTGCGTGTTTGCGTGTGTGCGTGTGCGTGTGTGTGTGTGTGTGTGCGTGTGCGTGTGCGCGTACGTGTGCGTGTGTGTGTGTGTGTGTGTGTGTGTGTGTGTGTGTGTGTGTGTGTGTGTGTGTGTGTGTGTGTGTGTGTGTGTGTGTGTGTGTGTGTGTGTGTGTGTGTGTGTATGGCCGGGTGCTCTAAACATAACTGCATCAGACGGAAATCACCAAGTAGCCGAAGTGTGACAGAAAAACGCATAGAAATCAGACGGATGCATGCATACCAATCTTATGGCAAATTAGTCAATTGAATATCATTGGCTTATTTCCTTTAGCTTAGTCAGCGGATTTCCCATGTCAAAATGGCTCAACTCTTCCGAGATGGAGGGAACAAAACATAGGCGCCTTCTTGTCTTCCTCGAGCGTTCAGTGGTTAATGCGCACTCTTGTTTACGATTGCTTGTTTTATCCAATGTTTTCTGCCGTTATGGGGCCTATCTTTTAGATTTATGTTAGCTTTACATCAACTAGAGAGGGCATCACCGATTCCACCGCACTGGTGGGCGGCGGGAGGAGCAGTGTCCATTGGAGCAGCGGCAGGTACTTAATCATGCCAAACATTATATGTTGCATATAAAAAATACCAGCAAGCTTCAACCGAAAAATAAAATATCGCAATCGTGGCAGTTAGTGAAACTTGACCTTCTCTCCCGCAAGTGAGCCAGATCCGATAATGAAATCAGTGTTTCTCGTAAGCATAAAGACAATGCCAGTCATTTCAAAACCTTACAAAACGACGCTAAATTTCAATCACCTTATGCATGTGTCCAGCCCTCACAACCTGCAGGTAGCCTGGGTCGAGAAGTGATCAAATGCATTTTGGTTAAACTAGTCACAAAACATGGGGTCCATCCAAACATCAGATGTTTGGCAGCATTAATTTATCATGTGGCTTGCAATATCCCCGATTTTACAGTACTGGCACTGTGCTGTTGATATGTATATAGCACCAGCGTGGAGAAGGTGAAGGAACAGGATCGTTGCCGATGTCGATGATTTAACAAAATAATAGCACCTGAGTGCCACAGGATTGCCGTACAGAGGGATACCGCGCGGCACGTAATCATTAAATCATTAGCAATTGATTTCCAATCATCGATGTCACCATTAAACATTAAACATTATCTTGCCGCCTGCGCCACCAAAACATCGATGTATAGAACGGCAGCCGCTGTTCCGTGGTCGATCTGCGCACGCGCACCAGGTGACCGCTCTCAGACGGGCGCACACGGGCTCACGTTGCCCGTCCCCGGCCGTCTCCCCGGCCGGCTCCCTGCCGCGGAGGCAGGCCCAGCTCTGCCGTTTTGTACTCGCGCCGGCCAGCGCCCCGCAACACGACACTACACACCGCCGGCGAGCGGCGGGCACGTCCGCTGTCCGGCGACAAACCGGCTATCACTCGCGGCCGCCGGGGCTCGAGGCGCTGTCCGCGCCGTCAGCCGGCAGCGGCGGCGGCGGCTGCGGCCCTCAGGCGGTCCGCACGGGGCCCGTGGACCCCGGTCCCCGGCGGCGTCCGCCCGGGACCACCGACCGCGAGTCCCCAGTCTCGGGTCCGACCGGGCGGGCTGGGTCCGATATGCCAGCCACGCCACACGTCCGGTGGTGGTCCACCGACCACCCCTGCGCCCGACACTCCGCCGCCGCGCCGCCAGCGGGTCCGTAGAGCACAGGTCTGTGATAGTGCGGTCTGCCAAAGCCGGGTCAGCCACACCACGCGGACCGGCCGTCCCCTCACCGCGGCCGCAGCAGCAGTAGCAGCGGCAGCAGCGGCAGCAGCAGTCCGCAGCTGGGCCGGTCCCTGATGCCGGCGTTGTGTTGCATGGCCGCCGGGTGCTCGCCTGAGGTCATACGAGGGGGTCAGAAGGCTGTTGCCAACTCATGGCGGGGTTCAACTCGCCGGTGTGTCGCTGACGTCACGGGGCGGGGTTCGGTTCGCCGGGGTGCCGCCGACGTAACGGGGAAGGGTTCAACTCGCCGGGGTGCCGCTGATGTCACAAGGTGGGGTTCAGCTCGCCGGGGTGCCGCTGACGTCACGGGGAGGGGTTCAAATCGCCGGGGTGCCGCTGACGTCACAAGGTGGGGTTCAGCTCGCCGGGGTGTCGTTGACGTTACGGGGAGGGGTGCAACTCGCCAGGGTGCCGCTGACGTCACGGGGCGGGGTTCAGCTCGCCGGGGTGCCACTGACGTCACGGAAAGGGTTCAGCTCGCTGGGGCGCCGCTTACGTCACGGGGCGGGGTTCAGCTCGCCGGGGTGCCGCCGACGTCACGGGGAGGGGTTCAGCTCGCTGGGGTGCCGCTGACGTCACGGGGGGGGGGGGTTCAGCTCGCCGAGGTGCCGCTGACGTCACGGGGTGGGGTTCAGCTCGCCGGGGTGCCGTTGACGTCACGGGAAGGGTTCAGCTCGCTGGGGTGCCGCTGACGTCACGGGGGGGGGTTCAGCTCGCCGGGGTGCCGCCGACGTCACGGGGAGGGGTTCAGCTCGCTGGGGTGCCGCTGACGTCACGGGGGGGGGGGGTTCAGCTCGCCGAGGTGCCGCTGACGTCACGGGGCGGGGTTCAGCTCGCCGAGGTGCCGCTGACGTCACGGGAAGGGTTCAGCTCGCTGGGGTGCCGCTGACGTCACGGGGGGGGGGGTTCAGCTCGCCGAGGTGCCGCTGACGTCACGGGGCGGGGTTCAGCTCGCCGGGGTGCCGTTGACGTCACGGGGGGGGGGGGGGGTTCAGCTCGCCGGGGTTCCACTGACGTCACGGGAAGGGTTCAGCTCGCTAGGGTGCCGCTGACGTCACGGGCGGGGTTCAACTCGCCGGGGTGCTGCTGACGTCACAAGGTGGGGTTCAGCTTTCCGGGGTGCCGTTGACGTCACGGGGAGGGGTTCAGCTCGCCGGGGCGCCACTGACGTCGATTCCTGGGACCGCCTATCGACCGCGACTGGCCGAGAACGCTGAATACATTTCAGCGCCTAATTATAGAGGTCACGAAATGATATGGGGGAAAACACATGATCTCTAACAAGCTAGCAAAAGTCTTGTCAATATATTACTAATCAACAAACATTGCAACAGACAAACGGCTTCATACGGATATGCCAACCACGATGACAGCAGCAGACGGAGAGCAACTTCCAAGAACCGGTAATTATAAGATCATAACGTGGTGTATTGCTGCATTTATGAAAAAAACATAACAAAAGTTGATTGAACGAAAAGGTTTCATAACGACAGTCGTAGATAATCGGCTGCTTAGAAGGCCGTAAAGGGAGTTATTGAATGTTTTTTTCGTATTCCACGCTAGTAAGAGACATCAACTGCACCAGATCAGAAAATTTTCATTAAGACGGAAGGGGCGAATAGAGAAGTGTGAGGATGTGCGGCTAGCGTCGGTAATAATATCCCTTTCTCATTCTCAGCCTCGATAGTAATCTGCGTTTTCCTGGAAGTCGTCGTTCTTAAACAGGCCTCTCATTTTCGTCTTCATCTGGCGCGAGATGATTTCTGGCGATTGGATTTCCAGATCAAGTCTGATTGATGAAGATTGGAGTTGGCTGAACCCCGACGCAATATAAACATCTGGCAGGCTTGGAGAAATGATCTCTCCATTTCAGGGAGAATGTATCAACTTGATTTGCGCAAGCGACAAATTGTTGCGTCCACCGCGGTTATTGAAAACTGAATGGGCCAAGGCATCTGACAAGGGTTTGATGAATGGAATAACACAAAACGTAGTTCGCATTAGTCAAACGCATTGCAGCGTCATTTCATAAATTGGCATCGATGTCACAAAACTCCATTCTGAAAAACATATTAGTTTCAGTGGCCAAGTGTTTGTGCTCATGCACTCGTAACGAAAGTACGAGCTTTGGGAGGAGCGCACGGTCGATCAAGACTATCAAGAAGCGGGGAACGTCTTACAAAAATAGCATTGTTGTCTTACATGTAATACATGGCATACGTTACGAAAGGATATAAAAAGTTCATCTTGCTCGATATCGAAACGGGCTACATCTCGTCTTCTGCAGTACATTGAGCCTGTTTACCCAATTCATTCCCCATTCTTTTTGAAAACTATATTCCCCTAAGGCCGACTAGACCTTAACGATGACCTGCGTACCGTACTCATTTAGCTGATGAGAAAATCGTATGAATGCAAAGCACGGAACACTCGACAGGCCTGGCAGGCGAGAGCTTGAGCTCGCTGCCACTCCCCGGCGACCAGCGAGGCGCGCCCTGGTCCTCACGGATCTACACCGGCCACGACAGGCCATTAAGCCACCCGCCCATAGACGCCGACGTGCAACACGCCGGCGTATGGACGACACGCCGCCCACCAGCCCGCATTGTCGCGGCCGCCGCCGCCGCCGCCGGGGCTGGGGGGCAGCCGCGGCAATCGGTGGCGGTGATCCTCAGCCGTCAGCGCCAGACGGTTCGCGCCGAGCCGGCGCGTGGGTCCTCGTGCATGCCCCCGGCCAGTATGTGAGGTTAGCGTCATCGCAACAAACAAACAAACAAGCCCGTGCATGGGTCCTGCATCTCAGAGTCACCATTCACATATCGGCCAAACATTGTAACAGATCACCGAATGACGTGACGTGACGCGAAAGACCTACCGTTGATGACCTAGATGACCTGGACTTGTGACCTACCGTCGTGTCGGCGAGGCGCGAGGCCAGGTGCCACGTGGCCGGCCTAAACTCGACGTTTTCACGTGACAGATGCCTCATACGAGTCTTCCACTTGCATGTAAGGCGTTGCCCAGTCGTTCACGATAGCGGGTTGGACCAATTTGGGCGTGGTTCAAGCCATAAAATTTTAGTTACTTTTACTTTGGCAACATGGGAGCCCTGATCATGCGTTTGATTTAAGTGAGAGATTGCAGAGGCCATCAGCACCTGACCTGCCCGACCATCACGCACTGACGCTCACCCATTGTTTTTTTCTTATGCGCAACGACAAGCCGAAGGCATTGCTCATGCATTTTCATAAACACAACAAACTGCGAAGCCGCCGAACGTGTCAGTATAATTCGGTAATTCACACTGCTACGATGATCATAACCAGAAGCAGTTCGCCTTTAGAGCACCGAAGCTCCGCGGTGCCATCTCAGCAGAATAATCAGTACGTTTTCCAGCATTCTTTGGCTCAACGTTGAAACGTTCTTTGCGGGAGCCGGTGTTTGGGCAAAGTAAGTGGATGTGATGGGTGGTTTTCCTGACGTACGAATAAATGAGCTGAGGACCTACTTTCGATTCGTTTGATAAACGCGTATACCGTGAATGTGCCTCAGCCCTCTTTTACCCGACATATTGCGCCACGAACGCTATGCCTTCCAGCTTGGCTTTTACGGTGACACACTTGAATATCGTCCGATGCGTGAGCGGCCTACCATTAACGTGCACCACTAACGAGCCGTTTATTCACATTAAAGATTTGCATTCTTAACATGACTGACATACCATTGCTGACGTGCACTGTAGCGTGATGACGTACCGTTGCTGACGTGCACTGTAGCGTGATGACGTACCGTTGATGACGTGCACGGTAACGTGAGGACGTACCGTTGATGATGTGCATGGTAACGTGGGTGACATACCGTTGATGACGTGCACGGTAACGTGGGTGACATACCGTTGATGACGTGCACGGTAACGTGGGTGACATACCGTTGATGACGTGCACGGTAACGTGAGTGACATACCGTTGATGACGTGCACGGTAACGTGGGTGACATACCGTTGATGACGTGCACGGTAACGTGGGTGACATACCGTTGATGACGTGCACGGTAACGTGGGTGACATACCGTTGATGATGTGCATGGTAACGTGGGTGACATACCGTTGATGACGTGCACGGTAACGTGGGTGACATACCGTTGATGACGTGCACGGTAACGTGGGTGACATACCGTTGATGACGTGCACGGTAACGTGAGTGACATACCGTTGATGACGTGCACGGTAACGTGGGTGACATACCGTTGATGACGTGCACGGTAACGTGGGTGACATACCGTTGATGACGTGCACGGTAACGTGGGTGACATACCGTTGATGACGTGCACGGTAACGTGAGTGACATACCGTTGATGACGTGCACGGTAACGTGGGTGACATACCGTTGATGACGTGCACGGTAACGTGGGTGACATACCGTTGATGACGTGCACGGTAACGTGGGTGACATACCGTTGATGACGTGCACGGTAACGTGGGTGACATACCGTTGATGACGTGCACGGTAACGTGAGTGACATACCGTTGATGACGTGCACGGTGACGGAGGCAGGCTCGGCGTTGGCCGGCCCGCACGTGTAGTTGCCGGTGTCGGACGGCGTCATCCGAGTGATGTGCAGCCTGAAAACCGAATCACACGGCGGTAGAAAACATAGCGCCTTGCTCCGAGCCAACAGCCAAGGCAGCCGACGTCTTACTGCGAAAAAAGATTTCGACAGTAACAAATGTAGGTTCTCGTCTTCAGGCCAATGATATGAACATTTGCACAAAACGCAAAATCCGGGATCCAGTGTTGAAAGCTGCAAATATCTCTTAAGTTCCCAGAAAAAAAAACAAGCAAATAAAGGGTTTCTCATGGTTTTGGAAGGGCATAACCTGAATGTTATCTCCCTCCCCCGCCTGGCCGGCCCGTGCCAGCCGCAAACACAGCTTCGGCATGTTGCAATATTAAAACTCAAGTCTTTAAGCTGAAATTGAAGTGAATCGAGAGCTGGCGGTCGGGGCAACGCCAGGGAAGAGGCGTAGTGCTGCTACAAAGCCTTGGCGGCGTAATTTGAGCCCCAAAATCATTCAAATTTGCATTTCTGTTATGTCTTGATGGTACTGCAACGGTACTGCCAGGTGTTATTATTAGACGTGAACGGCCCTGGGGTTTCACCGGAGTATGACTTGCAATAGACAAACGTGGGAGACTCGCTTTAAATAAGCGAAAATGTGTTCTCCAGTGTTAATTCCACTCATATTATTTTTGAGGATACGGAGCGAAAAATCATTGCAGTTAGGAGGTCTAAAATAAAGCACTAAATCTCTCTTAATGCCAAATTCTACTCGTCTGATCATTTCAACCTCAATTTGATGCCTGGGGGCAAGCATCAGGGAACATATCTGTCATCAAGATATACGATTCATTCAGCTACGAGCGCTTAAACGGACGAGGTGTAATAATATACGTCATCGGCAGCGAAGTGCAGCTGACGTTCGGCACGTGCCACCAGCTCGTCTGGCGTCTACTGTGCACACAGATCACGAGCCTGCAATAGGTGGGCGCGAAGAGCCAGCCGGCCGTTGGCAGCGGCGCCACCGACACCCCCCTGACCTGCCCTACTCTAGCTTTGAGAACCTAACAGTTTCAGCCGGTCAGTCAGCATGTGAACTGCCTGTTTACGCTTGTGTGAATGCTCTCCAAGCCTGTATCCTCGGACACGAAGGAAAACCAAGATCAGATAAAGCCTGGCACGAAACTAAAGTAACCGAAGGAAACTCAAAGGGGCTGATGTGATCCGTAAACTTGTTTGAATGTCAAACATGTCCAACAGATCCATGAATCTGTTGGACAAGAGAGGTAGCTGAACTACGAGCATAGCATAGAAGCAGCCCAGAATCATCGTAAAACTTCAATGCTGTCGTGCTTTTTCAGCGGCTCATATTCCCATTACATGGGAAACCAGCGGGCACGCTGCCCTGACGACCAACACAGATCAGTACAGATGGATCCGAACAGCCACTGCGCTGCGTTCATCCCTCAAATGGAGTCATCTTTCTTGAAGTAACTAGTCTACAGGGCCGAACCAAACCAGATTTACATCGCGTTCTCGGCACCCGTCGCACAGCAAACCGTTTCCGGTGTCATTCACACTCCAGGCACGTCCCCAAAACTGCCACCGGATGTCCGGAATCACTCCAGCCTGCGCATCCAACAAGTGTGAAATGAGTTTGACATTGCATTTCCGTATAGCACGTTAGCGCGTCCAGGCGCCTATCTGAGAACGATAGCACACGACATCATCCAGTGCGCATACAGATTGGAGCCGTTGGGAGTGAGCCGAGTGGCCCGCACCAGAAGTGAGACGACCCCAGTCAGCTGCCTTACTCCTGTAGCCGCGCACGAGCCGTCCCTGAGCACGCTCCCCTCCATCGCGTGGCGGAGGAAGCCACCCTCGTCGCCGATGAGGCCCGTCCCCAGTCTGCTGCCTCACTCCTCGCTCAGCCGCGCACGAGCCGTCACCGAGCATGCTCCCCTCCATCGTGCGGCAGAGGAAGTCCCACTCCCCGCCGATGATACCCGTCCCCAGGCCTGCAGACGAACACCCACCGAGGGCGCCGCCGCTCACCTTGTCGCCACCCCCTGTCCCAAGGAAGGGGGGAGGGCGCCGCCGCTCACCTCGCCGCCTCCCCCTGTCCCAAGGAAGCGGGGGAGAGCGCCGCCGCTCACTTCGTCGCCACCCCCTGTCCCACGGGAAGGGGGGGGGGCGACGTGTGACCTCCCGGCCAGCCGCCCCCAAGGAGAACGATATCCCTGGCAGAGGGACGGAGAGGAGGAGACAGAGGTCTGATTGAGCTCGTCGCGGACAGTGCACTGGAGAGGGCCCTTTCAGAGACTGGATATTGGCACTCCAACGCCACGGTGCTGACAGTGGGTCCGGCTTAGTTGAGGCGAAATTAGTCCCGCGCGAGCCCGGGCCCAAAAATCAACAGCGTGTGTGGTGTGATGGCGTCGGGTTTGTCTGACGCTCCAAATGATCCGATGACGGCGCACACCAGGCACCGGAGAGGTTCAGTTTCACGTGTCCTAAACCGTCAATGCACACCGATACACACGAATGCCTCACAGACGCAGAGCCTTCCGTAGTCTGGGCCTTTTTGTGGTAGTGGGTGCGACAGAGAGCCAAATTGGGCACCTTATCTTACACGACACTGTCCGATCTCTCAGGGGCGCGTGGTGCTATTCTGCTGACGATGAATGCAGCAATGGCAACCGACACTTGCGTGCGTACATGTGTGCGTGCGTGAGCGCGCGCGCGCGTGTGTGTGTGTTTCGAGGGGGCAGGACTGGACCTACCAGACAATTGGTGTAATAATCTACGAACAAAAAGGGAGAGGAGAGCAATGTGGTGCCATCAGCAACATACCATATCTCATTTCACACGAACCTTGTAATAAACTTCAGAAGTGTCTAAAAACACTGCACCTCAGCATCAGATGGGGCGTGCACAGGAGACATAATCGATCCCGAGCATCACCGATCGGATCACCGATCCATGGCGTCTCCGATCGGATCACTGATTCATGAAGGGACCAATCGGACCACTGATGCATGGCGTCACAGATGGGACCACTGGTCCAATTCCGTCGATCAGCTCACTGATTCAGAGCGTCACCATTCGATTTACATATATAGACCGTCACCGATCGGATTACCGATATAGAGCATCACCGATCGGATTACCGATATAGAGCGACACCGATCGGATGAACGATACAGAGCGACACCGATAGGATTACCGATATAGAGCGTCACCGATCGGATTACCGATATAGGGCGACACCGATCGGATTACCGATATAGAGCGTCACCGATAGGATCACCTATATAGAGCGTCACTGATCGGATTACCGATGTAGAGCGTCACCGATAGGATCACCTATATAGCGCGTCACCATTCAGATCACTGATCCAGAAAGTCACCGATGACCGCCCGGCGCCTCGAGCCGGCATCGTCCCACAATCTGAGGGAAGAGTACTTCCCCAGCAGGCGTCGTCTCACAACCTGAGGAAAGGGTGCGCTCCCAGCAGGCGTCGTCTCACAATCTGAGGGAAGGGTGCGCTCCCAGCAGGCGTCGTCTCACAATCTGAGGGAAGGGTGTGCTCCCAGCAGGCGTCGTCTCACAATCTGAGGGAAGAGTGCGCCCCCAGCCGGGCGTCGTCTCACCTGCTAAGGGAGGGATGCGTCTCCAGCCGGATCCGGTCCTGGCCCTGGTAGTTGATGACCCGGCCGTTGTGGTACCAGTAGATGGAGCTGGTGTCGTGGCTGACTTGGCACGTCAGGTTCACGTCGCTGCCCGACTTCACGTGCAGCTCGGCGTTGCCCAGGATATGCGCCCTGGAAACTGTGCAGTACATATACGTCATCGGCTCCCACAAGTGTACACATCGTGATCTACTTAATTCACCGCCGTGACCAGGACCCGGAATGGCACCCAAATGCAAAAACTCGATTCACCGATGTCTTGCCTCAATCAACAGCTAACGGCGCAAATAAGCAATGTAATTGACTCGCCATAAAACTAAAGACATAAACCACTAGCTAGCTACTCCGTCGGTCCAAAGGGTCGAGCGATTTTTTTGTAAGTCGTGAGCGACATTAAATGACATTGGGAATAAATGACGGGATTTTTTGGACCCCCAACACAAATATGGGAAAATCGAGCGAGAGAGAGAGAGAGGGGGGGGGGGACAGAAAGGAAAAAACGAGAGAAAGAGCGGGAAAATAGTAGTGACGCAGAAGTATGGAAAGGTCCATCTTGCCGTACCGTCACTGGCTTTAACACTGGGTTGGCGAGCAGAAAATGCCTTCGTCACGAGGCAAGTGAGCTTCATCGTCTGCGGCAGCCTGGGCGTGTTATTGCCTGTAGCCCCTTCCAAAGCTTAGCCCGCACTCCACTAGGACTAAACCCACCCATTATTAGTTCATGCTGAAAAGATCTGGTGATTTAATCTGACTGAAGACGAGATGATGAGATATTTCACTGATAAGACTGTCAATGGAGAGGAAGTCAGCTCGCGTTCTCATCAGTGGAGGTCGGTGTCGGTTCCAGGGTCCGTCTGCCTCTGTTTTGTAGTCTTCCTTTTTGCCCGCCCCTGTTGCACCGCCTGGTCCAGCGGTCGGGACCACCGGGAGCACAAAAGCGTCGGCCCGAATTAGAAGTCTAATCCAACTGAGGCGGCTCCGTCATTATCTGTGTCGCTCACAATTAGCAGGCCGCAGCAGATGTAATTCCCCGCTTCCACAATAATCCGCACCGAATCAGAGCGTCAGTGCGGCAACAATGCAGCCCGCAGCAGATCCGCCGGCACCCACGCCCAGACAGGCACAAAGCCGAAATAACAGCCGCTCACGTGGGACATGCAGAGTGCGTCATCGACTGAGGCTGGCGGCTGTGGTGAGGCTCATGGCCTCAGTGGCCACCGGCCTCGGCAGCAACAGGGGGGGGGGGGGGGGGGTCGGTGCTGCGTGCCGCCGCGCCACCGCGCACAGTCGGTCACTAACGTTTGCATTGGTTGTTCAGATTCCAAGTGAGGCGGGGTCTTAAGAAGTAAAAATCATTCGAAAAAAACAATCCAAAACGGGAAAAGCTTTCATAGAGTCCAGCCGTATGAAAGTGCTGCTTCACATGGCGTAAATTGCTCACGTCTGTGATCGGTGCCGATGTAGCTGGGGCGATGAAACACACCACTATGTCTTAGGATGAACGCTTTCCATAAGCCCTCGAAGAGAGCTGGATTCCTGAATAGAAGCAAAAGGGCCAGGAAGAGCCGAGTATCTGGCCATCCCCGCCACGCTTTGACCGTCTTCTGCCGGCTTTACTCCGCGGCTCGGTCAGCGATGTGTGTGGACGTAGGCCGTAGTTCCGGAGGTGTGTCCGTTTTGAGCGCGCGCTGCGTCTCGGCGACATTTTTATAGTGGATAAATACATCACAGAACGTCCTCGGATAAATGGCATACAACGGGATATTCGGTATGCCTAGAAAATAGCTGTTCTAAGGTGGAAATCAAAAATGGCTCCCGCAGTTAGGGCTGAAATTTCAGAACACATGATGGGGCTGTCGCTGAAATGAATTTCGCCACGGCTCTTGGAGAAGCATTTTTTTGTGGTTGGTGGAACATTGTGGGCTTCACAAGGCAGGAAACTGGCTGCCCTCTATGATCACTTACGACAGATGCTCCACGTCCATGCTGAATGACTTTGAAAACACCAAGAACAGACCATGAAGCAAGTTTAAAATCGAACAGCGATATTAAGGAACGAGCATGCACAGAGCATATCCAGAACAAAAAGCAGGCTCCCATCGAGATTTAGCTCGAAACGCCAACAACACTAGCCCACATCTAGCTCCAATGTATTCTCGCCCAGGGGGTTCCTGACCACGCAGCTTAGCTCAAGACACTGGCTTCTGGGTCTAACGTCCACATTGATCAGCATGAATAGAAGACAGCGGATGAATTACAAAAGCGGTCAACTTGAGAGGCGGTCACTCATCACGCACGCTCAGCCGGAGAACGGGAACTCATCTGGCACGGTCTGCGGTCTGCGCGTCGGGCACTTACCGACCACGTCCAGATGGAAGGCCAGGCTGATCTTGGGCTCGGTGCTGACCTGACACTCGTACACGCCGCTGTCGTTGACTGTGGGAGCCAGCACCTTAAGCGTCCACTCCTGCGTGCCGTCCGAGTGTAGCGCCAGGAAACGCTTGTCGGTGGTGTAAGTGAACAGGCCCACCGTCAATATGTGTAGGTCACTCTTGCGCACCCAGGAGACCTGGGGACACGGCCCAGGCTATGTCAGACCACAGCGCATACCGGTCAGTGTCCGTGCGTGTTTATGCGTGTGTGTGTGGGGGGGGGGGAGAGGCTGACCAAATCTCGAACGCCGGCAGAGCTAGAACAAATGTAATCTAATTTTGTCTTCAAAATCAAGCATCTGGATAGCCACAACATGGACGTTAACTTAAACTGTCATTGGTGCGCACTTACTCAACGTCGTCTGCTCGAAAGCCTTGCCATGGAAGTGAGATGTAAAGGGGCTGCACTTCAGTCATTTTCACCATCTAGCACCTAGTAACATTGAACTGAGAAGCAAACGTAAACGTCGACTGGCGTAATTGTTATATTGCACAAAACGCTGATCAGAAGCAAATGGCAGCATAACGACAAAACGACAGCCGTTGACAGGTCAGCTCACAGACAAGGCAGGATCAATCCTGAGCGTAATAGCCCATAGTCCTCCTATAAACCCCAGGCGTCATGTACCACATCGGCTCCGGTCCTCCTGCAAACCCCAGGCGTCATGTACCACATCGGCCCCGGTCCTCCTGCAAACGCCAGGCGTCATGTACCACATCGGCCCCGGTCGTCCTGTAAACTCCAGACGTCATGTACCACATCGGCCCCGGTCCTCCTGTAAACTCCAGACGTCATGTACCATATCGGCCCTGGTCCTCCTGTAAACTCCAGACGTCATGTACCACATCGGCTCCGGTCCTCCTGCAAACCCCAGGCGTCATGTACCACATCGGCCCCGGTCCTCCTGTAAACCCCAGGCGTCATGTACCACATCGGCCCCGGTGTTCCTGTAAACCCCAGGCGTCATGTACCACATCGGCCCCGGTCCTCCTGTAAACCCCAGGCGTCATGTACCACATCGGCCCCGGTCCTCCTGCAAACGCCAGGCGTCATGTACCACATCGGCCCCGGTCGTCCTGTAAACTCCAGACGTCATGTACCACATCGGCCCCGGTCCTCCTGTAAACCCCAGGCGTCATGTACCACATCGGCCCTGGTCCTCCTGTAAACCCCAGGCGTCGCATAGACCCTGCGGAGGACCCCATTTGTTTCCGGAAACGACTGGAACATCAGCCGCCACTGGCGGCGGCCGTTTGCGGGCCCCATTTGACGTCAATTGCCCTGAGTCTGCCGGCGGCGCCGGTGGAGCGCAGCGCGCGGCCAACGATACCCATTAAAACGAGAGGCATCGCTGAAAGATGAGCTGAATGCATTACTGCTGTCAAACGGGGTCGAAGTCGGGCCGAAGTTCGGACTCGGTCCGCCGTGTATTGCCCGGAGGGCGGACCGGCGACGCCACCGGGTGGCGGGACTCGCCGACTCCGTCCAGCGTCCGGGTGCGCCTCTCTCCCTCTCTCTACCTCTCTCTCTCCATCTTTCTCTCTCGCTCTCTCTCGCTCTCTCCCTCATTTTAGCTCTCTCCTTTCTCCATTGCTCTCGTTTTCTCTTTCCCTGCTTCCCTGTCCCCCCCCCCCTCCTCTCTTCCTTCCTCCCTTCCTTCCTTTCTTCCTCCCTTCCTTCCTTCCTTTCTTCCTTCCTTGATTGTTTTTCCTTCATTCATTCATTCATTCATTCCCTCCCTCACCTCCTTCCCTTCCTCTTAAATTTGAATCTCTGGGGCGATGAGGAGTCATGCGCAGTGAATCATCACGATTATGAGACCTGTTGCATCAAAACGGAAGTGAGTGCCATCGCTAAAAGCTTGTGTTATATTTTTGGCACTTGCAGGCTGCATAAAGATAATGGCACACTAGGTCAACGTCAAGCTAAGAGACATTTTTGATGTGACAAAATGGTAATGTATCTGCCACGTTGGTCTCAGAGATTTTCCATATCACGGCATGCTATATTGACATACAGACGTCGACTTCCGCGAGCATTTGCAAATGTTTTGTTGAAACATGTGCAAGCGACGACTTCATAAAATGTGTTGTAACAAATCTGAAACTTGCAAATTGTCACACTGCGCCCTGACGTCACAAAGCGTTGCCTGAAATGAAATTTCATGGGTGGAATAGCATTCGGAAACAGCTTTTTCACAGCAAACTTGCGATTACGGCTAACTCCCACATGAATTAGATCAAGCATGGCTGTAAGACATGCATTTACAGACATGCATACACATGTGCATACAACCAGACATACATACTACAGTATTGTCATCGCGTGTGTGCACCTGCACGCGGATTGTGGATACGCATAAGTCTACTTTTGCATACAACTGCCGCTGATGTTTACGGAGATGCTGTCGTAATCCATACCTGAGTTATATCAGTGTTTGTTTGGAGTCGGCACACACAATTGCAGCTCCAACTCCGGCCGCCCTCCCCCTTCCCCTCCCCCCGCGAGGCAGCCGTCAGAATCGCCGACCGCCGACTCGGGACTGACCGTCTTGTCGCCCGGATGCTGGATCACGCAGCGCAGGTAGGCCGGCTTGCCGACCGGCGACACCACGTGTCGCACTGTTGAGTTGAGGAACACCGGCTGCAGCATGGAGGGCCGCTGCCAGGGTGGCCGGGACGGTGGCTCCTCGGCCGACTGGATGGCCGCGACCTGGCCTGTGGACGCCCAGCACCGGTCAGCGCCGATATCTGACCAGCGGACGCCCAGCACAGGTCAGCACCGATACCTGACCAGTGGACGCCCAGCACCGGTCAGCACCGATAGCTGGCCAGCGGACGCCCAGCACCGGTCAGCACCGATAGCTGGCCAGCGGACGCCCAGCACCAGCCAGCACCATTTGACAGCCTGCCGGAGTGGCCGACGGCTTCTTTGTTTCGGGCTATCAGCGGGTTTCGTGTCCCCCATGCTGAACCAGTGGGGAACGCTTGGACACGCCGACGGCACCCCGCTGGTGGGATCCGGTCCCGAGTCTCATGTAATGATGCAACTCTGCTGGACTAGATTCACGCCAACTTTCACGTTCCAAGCTTGCACCGGCACCGAACCGTCACCGCATTAATTATTGCATGAGGAATGAGCGGACGCTACGAAAATTACGTTATAAGATTGGGTCTACTGAAATATGCGTAGCGAAATATATGGAAAGTTGGGGCATTTCTCCTGATATGGCGTCTCTGTCTTTACAGAGCGTTTTCAACAAAGTTTGGGCCTTAACACAGGCTCACTAGGAACAAAGTGAGGTTCTGTGGTGCCTTAATTACGGCACCGTCTAATTACGTAGCATTGTGGCCAAATATGAGCCGGGAAATGTTATCATTTTATTTCATCATTTCCGGTCATAGTTTCAGGCCAGGTATCATGCTTTTTATTTGCATCTTTGAATTAGACTTCCTGCTCGTTCTGAGTCAACATAAAATCGGGAGGCTTCTTTCACAGGCCCAATTTTTTTTAACAACTATTGATGGAACCAGCCCTCTACCCTCTTTGTACTCTTTTACGTACCCTATTAGTAACAAATATGCCCGATAACTTTGGCTCGAAAGATCTGGCGTGGAGCTTAGCTCGTAACATTGCGTGTTATAGCTTGTTTATTAGCGTATGTGAAAATAAGACACCAAGAACATTCCATACGATGAAAGTTCTCACATGCCACGTAATGTTGATTATCTGCTGGTGGTTTATCGTGTCCACCGCCGTGAGGTAGCTGGGCCTGACTGCGGCAGAAGCAGCCAGAGGTGGTCAATCACATTTCTGATTGACGCTAGCAATAGCTTGATCTGTTCAATATCGGATATAAGCAACGACGAGCTTGACCTTCTAGCTTTTCAGCGTTATGAGTTCAGCGTTTCCATGCTGAGAGTGGGCGACCTTCAATGTATCACGAGGCACTGGTTAAACGACGTTCCCAAGCAAACATTGGTTATGTTGCGAATGCTCTACGCTACGAGCTGCGATCATGGCCAAGAGTCCACATGAGCATTCACCATTATGAGCACAGCTTGAAGATAGTATTGCCAATAAGGCCAATACTTGCTTCATAACGTCGTTTGACCAGTACCTCGTGGCATAGTGAAGGGCGATAGCTATTGGTTTAAGACCTCTGAATTCATAATGCTGTTCAACATCATACAACTTTCGTGCTGTTGCGACATCCCACGGAGGCTTCATGAAAGCTGCTAATTTTAGACAGGCATAAAGTACGGATGACTTCGCCTGCCATGCCCAGATGGAGGCCACGATTCGAATTCGACACGCGTTTTCCATCGAACAAACCTAAGTTTACGGCTTGACCGGGCCCAACACAATTTTGCTTTATCTGGCCTCATACGCTTACAGCTGCCTGTCATCGATCCACACGGTTCGAGGTGCCGGATATTAGCATCAAAAGTTTATACCGTGAAACTGGTGATGCATTTGGCGTGGAACGTGTGGTGGTCGGAGCTGCGTTGCGCCGACGTTCCCGGCCGGCTCGACCGCCCGGCGCATAGGCTGTCCCGCACGGTCGGGCCGGCCGGCCCCGTCGATCGTTAGCCGTGTCCTGCGGGACAGCCTATGCGCCCGACCGCTCTCCAACTGTACCGACCGGTCCGGCGCAAGCCACGACAACGTGACTGGCCTGGCGCGAGCCACGACGACGTGACCGGCCCCGCGCAAGCCACGATAACGTGACCGGCCCCGCGCGAGCCATGACAACGTGACTGGCCCCGCGCGAGCCATGACAACGTGACCAGCCCCGCATGAGCACGACAACATGAACAATCCAGCGTAAGCTACGACAACGTGACCAGCCTGGCGCGAGCACGGCAACGTGACCAGCCTGGCGTGAGCCACGACAACGTGAACGGTCCAGTGTGAGCACGACAACGTGACCGGTCTGGCATAAGCCAAAGCAACGTGACCCTTCCTGCGCGAGCACGACAACGTGACTGGCCTGGCGTGAGCCAAGACAACGTGACCAGCCCGGCGTGAGCCAAGACAACGTGACCGGTCCCGCGTGAGGCACGATAATGTGACCAGCCCGGCGTGAGCCAAGACAACGTGACCGGCCCGGTATGAGCCACGATAATGTGACCAGCCTGGCGTGAGCCAAGACAACGTGACCGGCCCGGTATGAGCCACGATAATGTGACCGGCCCGGCATGAGCCACGGCAGTGTGACCGGCCCGGCATGAGCCACGACAGCGTGGCCGGTCCCGCGTGAGCCACGACACTGCCCTTGCTCCCTTCCCCTTTCGTATGAATTGCAGCGTGATCAAAATATGCACCGTATTTGCCTTCATTAGCGTATAAATTAGCATCTGAGCCTGAAGCCCAGGGGCGTCACTTAATATACTTTCGGGGAGCCTTAGCCCAAGGGAATACTGACCCAAATAAATACAGAAGCTCTCCCAAATGCTGGCATGACACCCCCACCCCCACCCCACCTACAGCTACCATCAATGTATATGGGCAAAAAGGAAAACTTGACCAAATACATACAGAACGATTATCTGAGCTACTGGTACACCAGGTAGTAGATGCCTAAACAAATCACTATAAGTGAGATGTCACTTTTAAGCCAGATAGTACCCTATAGGCACCTAATGCTTTCGCCATGAAGCTCCTTCATATGTTAAGCCAGTCTGCAAATGTTCGACTTTTTTAAAATTAGAATGTTTGGACTGAGGTAAAGAACAGTTGACTGCAATATGCAGCAGCTTTTGAAAGCAAACAGTAGCCAGACAAAAGCAGACTGGTTCACCCAACAGTGGCAATTGCCGTTGCATACTCGTGGATGTGGTTGTTATATAACACGATCTGTGTCGGCAGTAGCCATAAGAGATCCATACTAAGATTAGTAAGATATTTTGCTGTGAATCACACCCCATTCTAGGCTTTTCACAACAAGGCAGCTCACATTAAATTGAAATGGGAAGTCATTTCTCCGTGGGAAAACAGCTCTGAATCTCTGAAACATAAAAGCAATTTAAAAAAACTTCGGCATCAAGGATGCATTCAGGTGGCCGAAACCTGTGTAGAAATCATATTTTGGGAGGGCAGATTACCCTTTTCGACAGAGCCCCCCCCCCCCCAAATGACTTTAAAAAGTGACAATCCTGCTGAGACGTGTGACCATCGGCCGTGGCTTGTGATCCACGGTCCGTCTTTTCATAGTCATTTATGATGTGCTACCACTCTGAGATGTGGATTCGTCACATAGCAGTAAATTATGATTCATCACATGGTGCGAATTAATTTCGATAAGCTCAAACACAGGGGTGTAGCTGAACAAAGCCAGTTCGTATCGGCGGGGGGGGGGGGGGCTGGGCATTCAGATAGCTAAATAACCCGAAAGATCAGCCAAAACAATTTGTTTTGCTGTGTTGGCCAACTTCCTTCTCGAAGTGTGACGAGGGGGAGGGTACGGCCTGGAACGCCAACTTTGTACACATCACCTGACTGCTTGAACACGATTCGATCAACTTCAAGTAAGAAGGTGGTATACCGCCCTTCACCCCTCACGCAAGTTAAAGGCACATTGCCTGTTAGAAAATAGGCTTCGGATTTTTGAATTAGTCTTCTTTGACATCATGCATATGCATCGCATACTTGCATCGGAGCTAAAATGTGCTTTGCATTGCCTCTCAGCGAGAGTACACTGTTGCAGGGGCGTACAAGGTCTGCGCAGGATATATGAAATGTGCGCTTTCTGTGTGAAGTGCAGCGTTTTTCCCAGAAAATGGGTATTGAAGCCTCACCACGAGGGACGCCTATCTTTGATGTAAGTTTAGCATCTGGTAGCAACTCAGAATGCTGAAGAAACGTATTTATCTGATATGAATAGCACTGTTGATAATTTCCGGATTACTAAGCATTACGCGGTGGTGTTCCGTCGCCATGTGGACACATGTTTTACCACTGGTAAAACATGTGTCCACCAATGCTGCCCTGACCACTAAAAGGCTCGAATACATTCTAAGAAAAGGCTGCAACGCAGATCCTGAATCTGACAGTCCAGCATGCACAGATTCCTTGTCATGGGCCAACGTGTCACACCAAGACCTTTCCCACTCGGGCGCTGCCGACTCGGCTGTTGCATAAAAATGGCCGAGCGTCGCGAACCTTTACTGGCCACAGATGGGCCTATCCATTTCCCTCCTCCCCCTCCGTCACCGTGGCCAGGCCGAGCGTCGCTAACCTTTACTGGCCACAGAGGGGCCTATCCATTCCCCTCCTCCCCCTCCGTCACCGTGGCCAGGCCGAGCGTCGCGAACCTTTGCTGGCCACAGATGGGCCTATCCATTCCCCTCCTCCCCCTCCGTCACCGTGGCCATACCTGTAACTGCGTCACCCAGTGAATGGAAGGGTTAGTTCAGAGACAGACCAACCTAAGTGCCCACAGTCATTACGCGAATGGGCGTGTGTCCCATGCCTGAAACTGTCTCGGTACAGTCGGTACTGTCTCGGTACAGCAAGAGGGGCCTGGACCCCAGCCATGTACCTCTGCCTGGGACCTCTGGGCACAAAAACAGTTAACGAGCGGTACACAATATGTGTGGACCTAAGACATAGGCACCATATCAACTAGGGCAGATGCTATTTATCAACAGCGTGTTTTGTAAATGACGAAAGTTTCAGCTTACCCGATGTCATTATGTTGTACAGCGATATTTCA